TAAATATATGATATAATAATAGATTAAATAATAATAATAGTAATAATAATATTGTAAATTGTATGCTGTTGTTTTTATGTTAAGCCGCTCTGAGCCTCCTTTGGGAGAGGTAAATAAATATAATAATGATAATAATAAATATATGATATAATAGATTAAATAATAATAATAATAGTAATAATAATATTGTAAATTGTATGCTGTTGTTTTTATGTTAAGCCGCTCTGAGTCTCCTTTGGGAGAGGTAAATAATAATAATTATATAATAATAATAATAATAATAATAATAATAATAATAAAAATATATGATATAATAATAGATTATATAATAACAATATATTGTAAATTGTATGCTGATACTTGTATGTTAAGCCGCTCTGAGTCTCTTTTGGGAGAGGTAAAGCAGGGTGTAAAGAGAGTCAATATCACAAACGACATCTCACCAGGAATACCTTCTTCTCTTTCTCCATTGCATCTCGGGGTTCCCTTTGCTTTCCTCCGTCTGCAATTAACTATTTAGGCATCCGACATGCAGACGGGTTTGCAAACCAACCCACCACCAAAAATAGACAGATCTCCAAAAGGAACACATAAATCCAGGATTGATTTGAGTCTTTATTTCCCAGGCGTAGAGACCATAAGAATCCACTGGGCGAGAGGCTTAAGAGACAAGAGCTCCCAAGGCCAAGGACGTGGGATCAGAGCGGGAAGTGGCCAGAGGGTCCTTGCAGGAAGGTGGAAGGAAGAAAGGAAGGAAGAAGGCTCCGAGCATCATCACCATCACCACCAGGATGCTTTGTTTCCCTTGCAGGAGAGAGGGCTCTTCCTCCGCTTCCAGAAGTTTCCAAAAGAGGAGGAAGGGCTGCCTGCATTTACCAACACTCCTCCTCCGCTTCCTCCTCCTCTGTAGGCTTGGCTCTTCTTGGGAGGGAGAGAAGAGAGCGGGCTGGTGGAGAAATGGCTCATTCCCCTTTGCCGCATTGAAGGGAAGGAAGGAAGGAAGAAGGAAGGTGTGGTTGGCTGCTGCGCGAAGGAATAGAAGGGAAGAAGGAAGGAAAGAAGAAGGGAAAGAGGAAAGGAAGAAAGAAGGGAAGAAGGAAAGGAAGAAAGGGAAGAAGGAAGGAAAGAAGGGAAAAAGGAAAGGAAGAAAAGAAGAAAGAAGGAAAGGGAAGGAGGAAGGGATGAAAGAAGGGAAGAAGGGAAGGAGGAAAAAAGAAAAGGGAAGGAGAAAGGGATGAAAGAAGTGTAGAAAGAAGGAAAGGGAAGAAAGAAAAGGAAGAAGGAAGGAAGGGAAGGAGGGAGGGGGGAAAGGGAAGAAGGAAGGAAGGAGGAAGGAAAGGGAAGGAGGAAGGGAAGGAAGAAAGAAGGAAAGGGAAGAGGGAGAAAGAGGAAGAAAGGAAAGGGGGGAAAAAAGAGGAAGGGAGGGAGAAGGAAGGGAAGGAGGAGGAAGAAGGGAAGGAAGGAAGAGAAGGGGGAAAGGGAAGAGAGGAAGGAGGAGGAAGGAAAGAAGGGAGAAGGAAGGAAAAAAGAGGGAAGGGAGGGAGGAAGGAAAGGGAAGGAGGAAGGAAAGAAGGGAAGGGAAGGAAGAGGAAAGGGAAGAAGGGAAGAAAGGAGAAAGGGGAGGAAGGAAAGAAGGGAGAAGGAAGGGAAAAAAGAAGGGAAGGAAAGGGAAGGAGGAAGGGAAGAAAGAAGGAAAGGGAAGGAGAAGGGAAAAAGGGGAAGGAGGAAGGAGAAAGGAAAGAAGGAAAGGGAAGGAGGAAGGGAAGGAAAGAAGGAGAAGGAAGGGAAGAAGAAAGGGAAAAAAAGAAGGGAAGAAGGAAGGAAAGAGAAGGGAAGAAAGAAGGGAACAAAGAAGGAAGGGGAAGGAGGAAGGGAAAAGAAGGGAAGAAGGAAATGAAGAAGGGGAAAATGAGGAAGGAGGAAGGGAGCTGTTCCCATCACATTGAATGAATCCATCAAAAGGATGGCCCATAGGCACATGCTGCCTCCATGCCTGGATAGAGACTTAAGGAACCACCTAATAAATAAACAAATAAATAATCCTATGATGATGATGTTTCTTTATATCCCGCTTTTTCTCTCCCAAAGGGGATTCAAACCAAGCTTAACATAAAAGCAGACAACTGAAAATAACATAAAAGCATCAGCAGACAGTTGTAGCTGACAGGTGGGGATTTTGTCGGCGCTGGTTGTTTGTAAGTGCAGGCCAAGGTCTTGAAGCACTGCACCCAGCGTATTGACCACCACTGGGACCACCTTGACTGGTATTATTATTATTATTATTGCTATTAGATACCCAACAAGATGAGTTCACAGCAAACAAGATCCCTATGCTGGCTTTTGTATTCGGTCACACATCAGACACTTCCCGAGTGCCTAGGACTATATGATGTATTGGTGAATAATGCGTGCAGATCTGAGCAGGGTGGCCTTTTGACAGGTGGGGATTTTGTCAGTGCTGATTGTTTTTAAGTGCGGGCCAAGGTCTTGAGGCACTGCACCCAGTGTGCCCATCACTACTGGGATCCCTTTGACTGGCTTGTGCCAGAGTCTTTGTAGTTCGATCCTCACATCATGTAAGCTTTTCCTATTACCAGAAGTGACTTGCAGTTTCCCTGACACACACACACACAAATATTATTACATTTATTTATATCCCACTTTCTCCCTCCCGAATATAAATATATTTACTTATATTTGTATTTATTTGTATGTATGTGTGTGTGTGTGTGTGTGTGTGTGTATATATATATATATATTCCACTTTCTCTCTCCCAAATACAAATATATTATATTTATTTATTTGTGTGTGTGTTTATATATATATATATATATACACATACCACTTTCTCTCTCCCAATATAAATATATTTATATTTTATTTGTGCGTGTGTGTGTGTATATATATATATATCACTTTCTCCCAAATATAAACATATTTATATTTATTTGAGTGTGTATATATATATATATATATCCTACTTTCTCTCTCCCAATATAAATATATTTACTTATATTTATTTATTTGTGTGTGTGTGTTCTTCTCCCAAATACAATATATTTACTTAATTTTACTTACTTGTGTCTGTATATATCTATATATATGTATGTGTGTGTGTATATATATATATATACATACCACTTTCTCTCTCCCAATATATATTTACTTATATTTTATTTGTGCGTGTGTGTGTATATATATCTATATACCACTTTTTCCCAAATATAAACATATTTACTTATATTTCTTTATTTGAGTGTGTATATATATATATATATATATATATCCCACTTTCTCTCTCCCAATATAAATATATTGACTTATATATATGTATATATATATATACACCACTCTCTCTCTCAAATATAAATATATTTACTTATATTTACTTGTGTGTGTATGTATGTATGTATATATATATCTATATATATATCTATATATATCCCACTTTCTCTCTCCCGAATATAAATATATTTACTTATATTTATTTATTTGTGTGTCCCACATTCTGTCTCCCGAATATAAATATATTTACTTATATTTATTTATTTGTGTGTGTATATATATATATTCTCCCACTTTCGGGAAATGAAATTCCTGCAGAAAAGCCCCCTGAAAAGGCTCAACACCCTCCCCAATGGCCTTGCAACTTCAGTGCCTGGCTGCTTCCTGCCTAGTTGGGAGGTGTTAGCTGGCTCTGATTTTTTTCCTGTCCGGTTTTCTGAGTGTTGCTCTTTATTTACTGTCCTGACTCTGGAGTGTGTGTGTGTGTATATACACACACACATATATATATATATATACACACCTCCCAACAAAGGGTTTCCTTCCCCAGGCAGGAAGTAGCCAGGCTTTGCAGCTGCAAGGCTATTCAGTGGCCCATGGCAACATCCACACTTGCCTCACACAGACAAGAGTTCTTTCTTTCTCTCACCCTGGACATCATTCCACAGGGCGACGGTCCAGAAGCATTCTCTCCTGACGTTTCGCCTCATTAGTGGTGAGGCCTGTTGGAAACTAGGAAAATTGGRTGTGTGTGTGTGTGTATACACAAATAAATAAATATAAGTAAATATATTTATATTTGGGAGACAGAAAGTGGGATATATATATTTATATATCTATCTGCACACAAATAAAAGTAAATATATATTTGGGAGACAGAAAGTGGGATATATATATATATATATCTACACACAAATAAAAGTAAATATATTTATATGGGGCGACGGTCCAGAAGCATTCTCTCCTGACGTTTCGCCTCATTAGTGGTGAGGCCTGTTGGAAACTAGGAAAATTGGGTGTGTGTGTGTGTGTGTATACACAAATAAATAAATATAAGTAAATATATTTATATTTGGGAAACAGAAAGTGGGATATATATATATATTTATCTACACACAAATAAAAGTAAGTATATTTATATTTGGGAAACAGAAAGTAGTATATATATATATATATATATATCTACACACAAATAAAAGTATATATGTATATATATATATATACACACACACACACACACCCAATTTTCTTAGTTTCCACCAGGCCTCACCACTTCTGAGGCGAAACGTCAGGAGAGAATGCTTCTGGACCGTTGCCAGGCAACCCAGAAAACTCCCCTTAACCGACTACAATATGTTCCTAATGCTTCTAATTCTAATTCATTCTAATCTCCATATTTGCTGTCATTCGAACCGTGTGTGTCTTCCTTTCCCAGAAGGCAGGCAGGCAGGCAGGGAGGGAAGTAGGAGTCGAGGCCTGCCTCAGCTCGCGAGTGCGCCTGCGCGTAGGGCGGGAGAGGAAGAAAAAACACACCCCTCGTTGCGCATGCGCGCCTTCCCGCGCCGGGGCCTATTGGGGACAGACCGCGGGATTCTCTCACCCTTCCTCCCTCTCGTTCCACTCTCGTCCCACTGCGCATGCGCTCGTCTTTTCTTCTCAGCCTTGTTTGCGGCCTCGAAGCGAGGCCCCGCCCCCTCGCGCCCCGCCTCGGCCAATGAGGAGCGGCGGGCGGGTGCGCATGCGCGGCCGCGGCTGAGGAGAATTCGCGGAGGAGGAAGAAGAAGAAGGAGAAGGAGGAGAAGCCGCAGCCTAGGCCTCGCGAAGAGGAGGAGGAGAAGCCGGAGCGAGGCAGCGAGGGGCCCCGGTGGGATGGTGTCCCCCGCCGGCGCCGCGGAGGGAGGAGGAGGAGGAGCGGCGGCGGCTGTGGCTGCGGCAGGCTCCGGACCAGTAGGCCCCGGACCAGGCCTCGAGCCGGAGCAAGCTAGGCGCCCCAGGAGGAGGAGGAGGAGGGCGGCCAGGCCCGGAGGGAGCCCAGGCCCCGGACAGGCCGCGGAGGGGAGCACGAGCAGGCCGCGGCCCTGAGCCCCGAACAGGCCCAGGCCCCTCCTCAGCACCAGCACCACCCCCAGCACCAGAAGGCCCGGCGGAGGAGGAGGAGGAGGAGGCGGCAGAAGAAGCAGCAGCAGCAGCAGCAGCACCCGCGGAGGACGAGGAGGAGGAAGAGGAGGCCCTCCCAGGCCGGCCCCGTCCCCCTCCTCCTCCTCCGCCTTCCCTCGCCCGGCCGCGGCACCAGCATGGTCCGCGAGACCAGGCACCTCTGGGTCGGGAACCTGCCCGAAAACGTCCGCGAGGAGAAGATCATCGAGCACTTCAAGCGGTGAGTCAGCCAGGGAGGGAAGGAGAAAGAAAGAGGGGCACAAGCAAAGCCCTCCCGGCAGAAGGACGTTCAGCCCCTGCTTAGGAAACTCCAGGCAGGGAAGGATACTCCAGCATCAATAACATTATTATTATTATTATTAGAGTCCTATTTATTTATTTACTTTACTTGTATACCGCAGTTTCTCAGCCCAACAGGCGACTCAACGCGGTTTACAACAAGGATAAAAACAATCAACGATATACAATTTAAAACCATAATATACAATATTGACACAACAATAGACAACACAATGCATCTCATAACTAGAGTCGTGATCCAATCCGTCATCCAAATTTCCATTCCTGTAATCATCACATTCATTGCACTGTTTAACCGAATGCCGTTCAAACATCCAAGTTTTTAATCTTCTTCGGAACACCATTAGCGAGGGGGCTGATCTTACCTCCATGGGAAGGGCGTTCCATAGCCGCGGGGCCACCACAGAAAAGGCCCTGTCTCTCATCCCCGCCAGCCGCACCTGTGAAGCAGGCGGGATAGAGAGTAGGGCTCCCCCAGAAGATCTTAGGGTCCTGGTGGGCTGATAGGCCGAGATACGTTCGGATAGGTAGCTTGGGCCAGAACCGTTTAGGGCTTTATAGGTCAACGCCAGCACTTTGAATTGGAAGAGATCCCCCCCCCCACTCCACTGTAGGAGGGGCACAAGCAAAGCCCTCCCGGCAGAAGGACATCCAACCCCTGCTTAGGAAACTCCAGGCAGGGAAAGAAGAAGGGCACTCCACCACCACCACCATTGTTGTTATTATTATTATTTTAATCCCAATCATATAATAATATGTTATATTATCGAGCACTTCAAGTGGTGAGTGAGGGAGGGAGGAAAGGGGGAAGGAGGAGGAGGGGCACAAGCAAAGCCCTCCCAACAGAAGGACATCCAACCCCTGCTTAGAAACCTCCAGGGAGGGAAGGAAGGGCACTCCAGCATCAACAACATTATTATTAGAGTCCTAATAATATAATAATACTAACAAATTTTATACCCCGCCACCATCTCCAGCATCAACATTATTATTATTATTATTAGAGTTCTAGAGTTGGAAGAGATCCCCCCACTCCACTGCAGGAGGGGCACAAGCAAAGCCCTCCCAGCAGAAGGACATCCAACCCCTGCTTAGGAAGGAGACTCCATCATTGCCCCCCCCCACACACACATATACATACACACACATATATATATACACACACACACATGCGCAAAGAGAGAGAACATCCAAGCCCTGTTTCGGAAGGAGGTTCCATTATTATTATTGTGGTCCTAGAGTTGGAAGCAAACTATCCACTCCAAGCCCCTTCTGCCCTCATGCAGCCGGGGCACTAGGAAAGCCCTCCTGGCAGAAGGTCATCCAACCCCTGTTTAGAAAACTCAGGGAGGGAAGGATACTCCAGCATCAACAACATTATTATTATTATTAGAGTCCTAGAGTTGGAAGAGATCCCCCCACTCCCCCTCCCCACATATATATATATTTATATATACACACAAAGAGAGAGAACATCCAAGCTCTGCTTAGGAAGCAGGCTCCATTATTATTATTATTATTATTATTATTATTATTATTATTGTGGTCCTAGAGTTGGAAGAGAACTATCCACTCCAAGCCTCTTCTGCCCTCATGCAGGAGGGGCACAAGCAAAGCTCTCCCAGCAGAAGGACATCCAACTCCTGCTTAGAAACCTCCAGGGAGGGAAGGAAGGGCACTCCAGCATCACTATTGTTATTATAGTTCTAACAATATAATGAAATTAACAAACTTTATATCCCGCCACCATCTCCATATAAAACAATAACATCAACTCTGGGATCCCATAGCATTTGGCCATGGCGCTTCCGGGGGGGGGGGGGGCAGTGCGCTCTGCATCCATTCTGCCATGTGGACTCTCACGGGGAGGCAGTCCACAAGGCCAGCCCTGGGGAAGCAGAGTGTGGGAGGAAAGGCCAAAGGAAGTTGGTTCAATGGCAGAGAAGAAGGGTCTCCCTATCTCCTGAGGATGATTGGGGGGGGGGTGTCTTTCCTATGTCTCCTAGTAGCCCCACATGGGTGAAAACACAAGCATTCCATCAGCAAAGGAGTGTTAGTGGGTTTCCTCTTCCTTCAAAACAAAGCAAGGGATGTTTGAAGGCAGTGGCGTGAACTGGAGGCATCCCGGCACCTCTTGAACTCAAAGCAGACAGATCTCTTTCTGGAATCCATTTCTTTTTGGCTCCGTTTGCAGCGCAAGACTTCCCTGAAGTGACTTATTTTGAAATCTGGAGTGTGGAATTATGGCTCGAATTTACGAGGCCCCTCTAACCCTTTCCTGCTTTTAGAGGAAGTGAAATAAGAATGCTCTTTGCATGCCTTTGACTCTGGGTGCCTTCTTCCCTCCTGGGCCGTTGTGGTCGTGTTTGGGCAGGTTTTGCCTTTGCCGTGGTTGATGCATCCGTGTCTGCTTCTCCCGAGGAATGTTTTGTGTGTGGGGCTGTAATGGACGCCTCTGTGGAGGAGAAATGGCATGGAAGCCTGTGCGATTGGCTTCCTTGTAGTTGTCGAGTGCAGAGTTGGGAAATTATGGAGACGGCGGCGTAATGAGTCACCATGGGAAAAATAGGCTGGTTGCTGCTGCTGCCTGGCGGGGGAACCAGCTTGGCGGGTGAAGGGGGGGGGAATGCAAAGGCCTTCCTCCTCCTTCCTCGGTCTTTGAGGAGGACTCGGAGTAGCTCCCCAAGCTCTTCGCTGTATGGTTTCAGCTTCGGAAAGGAGGGCTTTGCCTCCACGAGGGCCGGCGCAGCGCTTTTGCTTGTCTGGAAGCTGTTCTAAAATGGCGGCCAGGACCTGAAGGAAGGAAGGAAGGAGCCGAGCCGTTCGCAGGCTCAGGGAGGTTGGGGGAGCGCTGGGAAGCAGCGTAACAAGAGACCGGAGCGCCCAGAGGGGGAAAGACCCCTTCCCAGAGGAGCAGTAGTTGTTGCTTTATGCATAAGAGACACACATGTACACACACATAGAGTATGCACCCAAGGAACACCCTTTTGGGGACAGGCCTATAGCTTTTGCAGAATTGCCTACTCGGTTCCAGGCTTCTTCGTTCCGGCCAAGGAAAACAAACCATGGTTGTGGTGAGTTTTCCAGACTACTTGGCCATGTTCCAGCAGCATTCTCTCCTGGCATTTCACCCACATCTATGGAAGTCCCCGGTGGCGCAGTGGGTTAAACCCCTGTGTCAGCATGACTGAAGACTGACAGGTCACAGGTTCAAATCCGGGGAGAGCGTGGATGAGCTCCCACTATCAGCTCCAGCTCCGCATTGTGGGGACTTGAGAGAAGCCTCCCACAAGGATGGTAAAACATCAAAACATCCAGGCGTCCCCTGGGCAACGTCTTTGCAGAAGGCCAATTCTCTCACACCAGAAGTGACTTGAAGTTTCTCAAGTTGCTCCTGACACAACAAAAAAAAAAAAGCCCACATCTATGGCAGGCATGCTCAGAGATTGCGACGTCTGTTGGAAACTAGGCAAGAGGGGTTTATCTATCTATGGAAGGTCCAGGGTTGGGGAAAGAATTCTTGTCTGTTGGAGGCAGGTGTGAATGTTGCAAATAACCACCTTGATTAGCATTGAAAAGCCTTGCAGCTTCAAGGCCTGGCTGATTCCAACAGACCTCCCAATCTCTGAGTGTGCCTTCCATAGATGCGGGTGAAAAGTCAGAAGAGAATGCTTCTGGAACATGGCCGGAACACTCACAGCATCTCAATAATAATAAGTCTCGCTTATCCAAATTTATTTATTTGCAGTATTTGTATACTGCATTTCTCACCCCGAGGGGGACTCAAAGTGGTTTACACATAAGTGTAAACCTAACATTCACAAAGTGTGAATATTGCAATGGGCCAGCTAGATTCACATTTAATGGCCTTGCAGTTGCAAAGCCTGGCTGCTTCCTGCCCAGGGGGTGATTAGCTGGTCCTGATTGTTTCACACCTGGAATTTCCCCTGTGTGTTGCTCTTTATTTACTAACTTGATTTTAGAGATGTTTTTTAAAATACTAGGAGCCAGATTGTGTTCATTTTCAGGGTTTCCTCCTTTCTGTCGACATTGCCCACTTGTTTCTAGTGGACTTCAATGGCTTCTCTGTGTTGTCTAACATGGTGGTTGCGAGAGTGGTCCAGCATTTCTCAAATAATTATGCTGCGATTCCCGCAGGCAGTAATCAGCCAGGCCTTGAAGCTGCAAGGCTTTTCAATGCTAATCAAGGTGATTATTTGCAACATTCACATTGCCACCAAAAGACAAGAGTTCTTTCTTTCTCCCACTCTGGATGTTATTCCACAGATAGGTTTTTTTGGTCGTGTCAGGAGCGACCTGAGAAACTGCAAGTTGCTTCTGGTGTGAGAGAATTGGCCGTCTGCAAGGACGTTGCCCAGGGGACGCCCAGATGATTTGATGTTTTTATCATCCTTGTGGGAGGCTTCTCTCATGTCCCCGCATGAGGAGCTGGAGCTGATAGAGGGAGCTCATCTATCTCTCCCCGGATTCAAACCTGCGACCTGTCGGTCTTCAGTCCTGCCGGCACAGGGATTTAACCCACTGTGCCACCGGGGGCTCCGGCATAGATAGGTAAAATTCATTTGTTTAGTTTCCAGCAAACCCCCCAACCTCTGAGGATGCCTGCCATAGATGTGGGCCAAACATGAGGAGAGAATGCTTCTGCAACATGGCCAGGCAGCCTACAAAACTCCCCGCAGCCCAGTGATTCTGGCCATGAGAGCCTTCGACAGCACATAGGCAGATTGTCATGGCTGTGACATAAAAACACAAAAGGAGTTGCCTGGGAAGAGCCGTACGCTTTAGGACTAGGAGTGCTCCTCGCCAGAGCTTGGAGGGATGTGTGCAAAGAGGTGCAGCGAGGGTGGCAACAATTTCCGTTGTGGAGGAGCTTCCCAACATTGTCGTTGTCGCCGCCGC